TCATAACACTTTAATTGATTTCTGACTAAGTACATATGTATGTAGTAAATATGATGTATTTATGTGTGTCATTATTTACAGAAGCAAGCGAAAAAAAGTAAAATATGAATACTGGTATATTAGGCCGGGTCCTCATACGAAAGAAAAAAGTTGATATTTACTAGGCCCAGGAGCTCTATCCAAATTTTTTGATTATCCGTTTAATCCGAAAATTCTAAATTTCGAATGTCTGATTTGAAAATCCGTATATCCGAATATTCGACACTAACCGAATATCAAGATTTTTGAATCTAAGGCTGCATTTCTTTATTCATTCTGAACGTTTGGAATAAACTTTTTTGTTTACATATTCTTTAGAACGTTCCTGATGATATGTTAACATATATTTCAAACGCATTCTGTTTATTCCGGCTGTGACAATGGGATTACCCGGAATGAAACGCAGCCTAAAAATACTAATATGTAACAATTATTTGTGTTTTAATGAAGTCTGCTATTAATTGTTTAGCAACCCAATAGTTTCGATAGTTCTGAGAACAATTTTACGGAATCCGGTCAAACACTGTTTAGAAAATACGAATGTCCGTATAACTAAATGAACGGATGTTAACCGTTTATCCGGTTGTTATGAGAATATTTACTACTAAATAGTGATACATAAATACATACGTATGTATATCGCTGGAAATATGTATATTTTTAAGTTACAATTTTAAATAACTTCAGATGAGGCGATTTTTTGACAGCCATTTTGAGTCGCCATTTACACGAGCGGTTTTTTTTTTGAGCAATGTTGAATCGCCTAGAAAATTGCCTCATGTAAATCTAGTTTTACCAGGGTTCAAAGGTCGCCATAAAATTAAAAAAAAAAAACTTGTAAATTATCAATTATTTTATAATGTGAAAGCGAGCTATATTCCTCAAAAGTAATTTTAAACGAATTAAAATCGGCTCGTAAGTAAAACAGTTATGAAGATAATTGCATTCTTGCTGTTTTAGGATATAGCAAATACGACAATTTTTTGGCGCAAAAATCAGCTGAAAAATCAGTTTTCAAACTTTTTATGGGGGCCGATCCGTTCTAATGTAGAAACATACCCCCGAATGTAGGTATGTACATATGTATGTGCCCCAGAAAGCTATCGGCCACACGGCAGCCCACAATTCTATTCTGCACAAGCACAGAAGCACACAGCTCGCAGAGCAACTCAAAAGCGGCGAGCATACAGTCGAGCGCATACGCTGCTATTGAGAACGCCTAGATATACCGAAAGACAGGCGGGCAAACAGATAACTGAACGGTTCGCTGAATGGTACGAATGAGAACGCACTTTCCAATGCAGAAACGAATCCAATGCAGAACCATGTCGCATAATATCTTCCCGTCAGCCACACCGCACTTACACCCCTACTTCTCCTACTGCGCCCTACACCCAGCCATTTCTTTGATATTTTGCTGCACTCAGGCCTGCAGACGTCTACTACATACATACATATGTACATACATGTACGAGTACTACACTATGCATATTTTTTTGGGGATGTGCAATTGGGCCGGGTAACGTGTGGTGGCGGTGCGCGTCTGGCGGCCGGGTGGTTGGAGTGCAGACATATGACTCCATCGTCAGAGATGGTTATTGATTTTTCATATAGAGAAAAGACGAAACTTTTGCACATTCGGTTGTGTTGTAGCGGTGCATAGACGTACAGGCAGCAAAATTTTCAGTGCCCTCACTGTGAGCGACGGTAATTAGTAATTAAAAATTCACACAGTATTGAGAATTGTGGTAAAATAGTGAGGAAAGTGTAACAAAACTAAAATATGCTGTGATTTTTCAATTCAATTTGTGGCAGTAACATTTTCGCTGTTAGAAATTGTGTAATAGGCAGTGGTTGGTGAAGTGATTTTTTTTCTTTCGAAGCTGCCATTGAGCTGCCGGAAGTATAAGCATATTTGCTGATGAAAAAATTTAAAGCAGTTGAGTTATATATTTGGTTGCTGATCTGATGTTGTGGAAGATGTATTTCGAGTTGAAAAATGATTACTGTTAATTAGCTGTGTGTAACTTTTGCAGCCAATAACAGCCACTCCCCGCCTCGTAATCCACCACCACCCCCCCCCTCCCAACCCAACCTACCCCAACTCAATCCAGCTTGCACCTTTAAGTTCTTGATTCTAATGAAATTATTCTGGTTTGTCTCATTGTTTTGCAGAGTTTTCCCTAATCTTTAACTTTCGACGACTGTGCGGACAAAGGAAATTTGATTTGCTTCCTTCAGAGCCGGTAACAAAGCAAGTAAGTGTACATACCGAAAAAATATATGTAAGTAAGTATCCATGATTCCGAACGCATTTCCATTCGCCCATTTTTTCCATATTTATGTATGTATATGTACATACATATGTATGTACAAATATTCCCACATCCCCCACCCACACGCCTTGCTCCCTCCCACCCACTATCCATGCCCTCAATACCCTCGAACACTTTACAATTCTGACACCTCCATTTAAACTTACCGATTCAACGACAAGTGTAAAACACACTTCACATACACCTTGGCGCATTCCGTCACTTACTTCCACTTTTTATTCGCACATCTTTTCCAACTGACACGTAATAGCTTTATAAATCCCAGCTAATACTACGAAATCTCGCCGGAAGAATTCAAAGCTGCTGTGCGTACGAAGCGTAGACACTCAAGATGGGTAAGGAAAAGACGCATATTAATATTGTTGTAATTGGTCACGTCGACTCCGGTAAATCGACCACAACTGGCCATTTGATTTACAAGTGTGGTGGCATTGACAAGCGTACGATTGAAAAGTTCGAAAAGGAGGCCCAGGAAATGGGTAAGGGCTCCTTCAAGTATGCCTGGGTCTTGGACAAACTGAAGGCGGAGCGTGAGCGTGGCATAACCATTGATATTGCTTTGTGGAAATTCGAGACGCAGAAATACTATGTGACCATCATCGATGCGCCTGGACATCGTGATTTCATCAAAAATATGATTACCGGTACTTCGCAGGCCGATTGCGCGGTATTAATTGTTGCTGCCGGTACCGGCGAATTCGAAGCCGGCATCTCTAAGAATGGCCAAACGCGTGAACATGCTCTACTCGCATTCACGTTGGGCGTCAAGCAATTGATTGTTGGCGTTAATAAGATGGACTCCACTGAGCCACCGTATAGCGAGACACGCTATGAGGAAATCAAGAAGGAGGTATCATCCTACATCAAGAAGATCGGCTATAATCCGGCGTCGGTGGCATTCGTACCCATTTCCGGCTGGCATGGTGATAATATGCTTGAACCATCTGAGAAGATGCCATGGTTCAAGGGTTGGACTGTGGAGCGCAAGGAGAGCAAAGTGGAGGGCAAGTGTTTGATTGATGCGCTGGACGCAATTATGCCGCCACAGCGGCCCACCGACAAGCCATTGCGTCTGCCATTGCAGGACGTTTACAAGATTGGCGGTATCGGTACGGTGCCAGTGGGACGTGTGGAGACTGGTATACTGAAGCCAGGTGAGTAAGTAAGCTGTGTGTTTGTGTTGTTGAGTCATGTGTGCTATTTGTGTGTGTGTGTCTGTGTGTGTGTTTCATGAGTGTGGGTGTGTGCTTACGTCCAGGCACCGGATATGATTGCTGCATCTAGTATAAGGCTGCATGCATAGGATGTATGTAAAACCAATGTACATACATATGTATGTGGGTGAGTGGGCGGCTGGAAAGTTGAGTACGAATGCCGTCGCTGTACGTTGTGGTGGATGGGAGCGCAAGGAAGTTGCAAAAGTGGGTCGCTTGCGCTCGTTTGAGTGCATGAATGTATGTTTGCATGTGTGGCTCGTCATGTTTACTGGCTTGTTGTTTTTTTTTTTGTTGTTGCTGCTGCATATTTCGGCAAATTTTGCTGCGTACTTTTGTGCTGAAAAGCCGCCTGCTCGCTCGGCTTCGATTCCGCATCCGGGCAACACGAAACCGAGTGCATACGCACTCGTATGCATTCGCAGGCAAATTGGTACGCTTGCGTCTGTATGTTCTCGCGAATTAATCGATGCTTAGAAATTGAGAGCAAAGATTTTCGGTTTTTTTCGGTTGCGAAAAAATCACTGGCTGATGAAATCCTTTTTGAAATATTCGCAGGTATGGTGGTTAATTTCGCACCAGTCAATTTGGTGACCGAAGTCAAGTCTGTGGAAATGCATCACGAGGCACTTTCTGAAGCTTTGCCGGGCGATAATGTTGGCTTCAATGTGAAGAACGTTTCAGTAAAGGAGCTGCGACGTGGCTATGTAGCTGGTGACTCTAAGAATTGCCCACCCAAGGGTGCTGCCGATTTTACCGCTCAGGTAAGTGAACTTTAAGCTGTTATTTATGAAGTCTTAACTTAACGTAACTTAAAAACGATCTGTTACATTGACCAAACCAGGACGGAAAATAATCATTATTTTTTTAAGTTTTAATGTGAAAAATCAACATGTTATGAAATATTTAAATTTTTCGAGTTAAAAAATATTAATTAATATTTTTGTTTTTTTCGATCAAAAGAAATTATATCTTGGTTTTTTCGATCAATGATTAATTTAAAATTTTTATTTTTGCGCTCAAAGATAATAATAATTAATATTATTATTTTCACCAAATAGGTAGTAAATATTTTTTAAAAAACTCAAAATCTTTACAGATATAATAAAAGAAATAAGTCTCAAAATTTTCAGGCCAAAGTTTAAGTTCATTGCCTCAGTATGGCGATTTAAGTTTTATAAATAATAATTATTTTATTTTATTTGTAAAAATAAAACGCAATAATAATTCTTATTTTTGAGCGAAAAATTAAAAATCGTAAAAAAATCAATTTTTGTGATAAAAAAATTTAAACTCAACTTTAACTATTATTTTTGAGCAAAATAAAATTAAAAATACATCTGAAATATTGATTAAATGCTGATTAAAAGGATTTAACTTATAGTGATTACCGTCCTTGTGAAAAACATTTTTTTTAAACGTAGCCTAACTTGGATTATGTTTGTCTACTTTTGCCGACAATGGGGAGGCAGGGGTTCAAAATTAGTAAAACTCTGCTTACGTAATATTTTAATGGGGCCTTATGCTGACGCACACTTGCTGAAATTTTGTTTTATTTTTCACATGTATGCACGTATTTCTCACTAATAACTTATCACTTTTCGCTTAATAGGTGATTGTACTTAATCATCCTGGTCAAATCGCCAACGGCTATACTCCGGTCTTGGATTGTCACACCGCTCATATTGCTTGCAAATTTTCCGAGATCAAAGAGAAATGCGATCGCCGTACTGGCAAGACCACCGAAACCGATCCGAAAGCTATTAAGTCTGGTGATGCGGCCATTATTTTGTTGGTGCCCACTAAGCCGTTATGCGTTGAAAGTTTCCAAGAGTTTCCGCCGCTCGGACGTTTCGCTGTACGTGATATGAGGCAAACGGTCGCGGTGGGGGTCATAAAGTCGGTCACCTTTAAAGAGACAACCTCGGGTAAAGTCACAAAAGCCGCCGAGAAGGCACAGAAGAAGAAATAACTAGAGTGCCAGCAGAACGTTAACTCACAACAACAAATAATTATGCAAATACAGCAAATAAAAATACAATTTGTATTATTGTCATCGCCATCAATGTCGTTGTCATCGGTGTCGTTGGAGTTGTGGTCGTCATGGTCGTCATGGTCGTCGTGGTCGTCGTGGTCGTCAATTCCAACAACTACAGTAGCAGCAACAGCAAAATTACTACTACATAAATCTCAAAAGAAAACATTTAATAAGCATAAATTTAAAAGAATAATACAATTTACTCTTATCAATGATATGAATATGAATATGATAAGTAATTATTATGATAGTAAAGCTATGACATTCAATGTGAGCAACAACATCAACATCAACAACAACACAAACAACATAGACAACTACAACAACAACAACAACAACAACTATAATAATAACATTACCACAAAAAATAAATCGCAAATTTTCCTCATTAATCACTACACCTTCTTCACCAACAAAGGACAAACTTTGTGCGTCAACAACCATACAAACACTAGCAAAAAATCCATCTCCATGCGGAAATCATCAGCAATAACATCATTAGCATCGACTAATGCCATGTTGCCCTATCCCCGAACTTCGATTGAGTCGTGCGTGAAGGCATCATTCCCTAAGCAAGTAGCTAAAAGCAAAATAAAAGACATTGATAACATGAAAACCAAGAAGAATTCAATTACAACACAAACAAAAACAAACCAAATATCGACAGCATTCACTACATCCTCATCTCGAATCTTCACAGCGATTAGGCCAATCACTTCCACACTAAACGCAACCACAGGCGAAGCAGCTCACCGTCTAGCGTGCAACTCTAAACTGTCATTTTTATTATTTTCGATTATATACTATATTTACGTCTTTCTTAACCTATATCGTCATCGTAAATCCTTTCGCAGGAAATCGGACTTAATCACCGCCCGCGCTAAAAATATCGCAAAGCAATCATCAATCGCACGAAATCACAACATTTTCGCATTCAATATACGCTTATACATTTTATAATTAATATATTTATTCGAAATCATATATACACGAATGATGCGCGTTCGCAGCTTCGCTCATTCATTACTATCCATCCCTTATCATATACCAGCATTATATTTGTGCTAGTCATCATCAAAGTGTACTCTGTAGTTGTACTTACACAAATTCATAAATTTCCTATAGCGTTTACTACGTATTGTACTGTATTTCAACACCAAACTGTGAGACTCAATCGAATTGAATTCATTTTGTTATTAATTCTTATAATTATTATTAAGTTTTTTTTTTTTATATTATATTGTGAAATCCAATTCAAGTTGGTAATACTCGTAATTTCCTATCCAACTCATAAAAGTACACATGCACACACACACACGCATATGCAAGCAACCTCTGACAACAACAACACCATACAATTTTAGAAGTTATCCACACTTTGCATCCCTCCACCCACAATCCATACACATGGGCAAGCACCCATTGGAGAATTATATAACAAACTCCGTTATCGATGTCCTGGTTGTACCATATACATACATAATATGTATGTGTGCAAGCGGACCACCCGGCATTGGATTACCATGGCTAATCTGATTACCAAAATGTAATCAAAATGAACACGAAAAACACTCGATAAACTGCAGTGACACAAACAAACACACACACACACACACACACACTTTTAATGAAACACCCACATTAAAAATAATCACTTGAATGCATAAATGCAAAGCATGAATAGACAGTGAATGTGTACTATTAAAATGAAAAACGAAAAATCCAAAAATATATATGAAAATAAATAATAATAAATGTAAAAGCTGGAGTTGCTTAAATAAAGATGAAACATTTTAATTGTACGATTTAATTGAACCATTTTAAAATTTGAATTGAGAAATAAAGAAGGCTTAACCAAAAACAGTCGTGCACCGCATGCGAATTTGCGCTAATAGGTAACTTGCGAAATGTGTAAAACTTGTGTTCCTCAGTAAGCTGGAACATGTGTTTTAGAGGCATTCTTCGAAGAAAAACAAGGTTGACTAATCGATGTGCAGGCGAATTCCCGCGGATTGTATGTATGTAAGTACATATCGTCACCTGAAATGCAAAAGGACGTAACAAACATCGTCGGTGAAATACAAAAAGTCGTAGCTAATAAAAAATGCAAAATTCAGTTTTTGATTGATATGATGGATTTCATTAGTCACTTATTAGTCACTATTTTTTCCATTTCAGTTACGATGTTGTTACGTCTTTTTGCATTTCAGGTGCCGATATGTATGTATGTATAGTTGTAGGCCGCGGCAAAGACGTGTTTATGGATCTATCAAAAACTTTCAGTGTCGCCTAAACTGCTACCATTTGCTGTTACTATGATTTAGATCCCTTACCTGGCTTTTATACATTGGTTCACGACTGTTGAATTCGTAAGGAGTCCAAATATTCCGTGACAAACCTGCTGGCGTTTATTGCCTGTATACAGTAGATTTGTGATCACACCTGTTTGGACAAACTTTTTTGGATATTAATAGTTTAACTTTAAGAACTTCTTCGCTACATTTGCTAAACACTATTTTACACCTTTTCCACTTTTGTTCATAAACAGGTGTTCCGCAATACATTGTAGCTTTTTTTTACTAAACTCAGCTGCTCATTATCGAAGCTACTAAAAAGGAGCTTTCATAAAAATTATGCCATTGTACCATGCTGCAAGAAAAAGTAAAAAAAAAATTTAGTTTTCCGCCTAATTTGTTTATGTACAACGCATTCTAATTATATACGCACGCTGATTGTAGCTAAAATTCCAGAGAGGAAGAGGAAATTAGGATATGCTACCAAAATTAATACATTTCCGTTCAACAATTGTGAATATTTTTTTTTTGCAGCAGAGAACGTCTCTTTCGTTACCGCTCTCTTATTTTATTTACATCCGCTGTCAACAAATTTGACATTTGCGTTCTCATACTCATACAAAAACAAAAAATACGGCGGAAGCCGGCTGAATTTGTGACTCACTCTTTGGCGAAAATATACAAGCTTGGATCATATCAATTGATTTCAATCTAGCAAAGCAGATTTAAAACCATTTAGACACCCAAAAGCAGACTTGATGGCCGATCCACGCTTGCGACAATTGACGATCAAAACGGGCGTTGTAAAGCGTTTAACCAAGGAGAAGACAGTTTGTGAAAAGGAGGTGCTAACCGAGCAAAATCGACTGGAAAGATTCAAAGGTGAAGGTGCTGATGAGCATGTTTTGAAGAAGCAAGAAGAGGTGATCTCGGAGTGTTTGATGATGCTGCCAGACACTCTGCGCAGGTGAGCAATTAACAAACAGATGGCACTTGTAAGTAACGTGAAAATAAGCAGCTGTGCGCTTTTTCTTGCAGATTGAAAAAGGAATTAGAAGCCCTGGAAAATTTTCTGCAAGACGAGACAGAGCTCAAGGAAACAAAGGAATACGAGACCGCAACGCAGGTGGTAAACGATGCTAAAGAGGTGCTTGTGCAGAAAGACTAGCAATAAAGAAAACAATTAAAAAAGTTCCATTTTATACTATATATTTGCCATCAATTCACTAATTTATTAAAAAGATATTTTATTGTTAGCTAAAAACACATAAATTAAGCATCGAATTGAAGTCGTCATCGCGTAGCACGCAAATATGACTCATTCGTTTAGAGCAACCGAAAAATTGTTACCAGTTTCGCAATTAAAATGTAATATTCAAAATATTTTGAGTAATATCAAGAAGATGGAAGCGTTGCAATGCGAGACTGTAACTTCTGAATCTAATATCGACAGTCTGATGCAGCAAACTGATGAATTAATCAAGGTAGTTGAAAAATCTCCACTAGAACGTCTTGCTAAAACGATTAAGAAAAGAAAAGAAAGGCGTAAGATCAAAAAGTCGAAAGTGAAAGAAATTAAAACGCACGTTGTTAGTAAAAACGTGTTGCAGATGCCCTCTTCTATAGCATCTACCACAGTTTTGCCAAGTTATGAAGCATCTGCAAGAACTCATACCGAAACCTCAAATTGTCTAACTTCAACGATCACAAAGAAACTCCAAATTCGTTTGCTGAAACACGATTCCCAACGTTTCCTTAGGAAAGTTGATATGGGTTCCACTCGGAGCGAGGTATTGAAATATAATGCTCCTGAAAGCACTAAAGAAAGGCATTTGGAGGACCAATGGAATGATGTATTTTTTGGCCCGGTTGAACATTCCTATTATGATGAACAAAACAGGGGTGACTTCATACGAATACGTCGCATCTGGGATAGCTATTTGACGCGTAGCAAACAAGGCACACATATACCTTGCGGTTGGGTTCTACCCCGTGAAAATGCACTTAGAGAGTGGCAGCAATATAAAGCCACGTGACTGTTTCATAGTACACTTGTTACATTTATCTATAAATAACAATTGTATAATTTTATATACCAACAAGAAACCGAAAACACTAGTAAAGCTCATTTCCGTTTGTCACGTTTTCAAACTAATCTCTTTCCCTTGCTTAACAATATAATAACAGAACCTTCCAAATAAATAAATAAAACTTGATAATTAACTAGCTTCGCTTTATTTTATTGGAATTCAGTGGCAGAAATGTACTTTTTACTTAATAACATTTATGAGGGTGTATTTACGATTGTAAGCGATTTAAATCTTATTCGTATACCCAACCCTCAGCAGCTGGTTGCCATGAAACCAACTCTTTCTCGTTGAACCAAAGACCGATTTCTTTGTTAGCCGATTCAACAGCGTCGGAGCCGTGGATGATGTTGCGGCCAACCTGGATGCAGAAATCGCCACGAATGGTGCCGGGCAAGGAGTCAGCTGGGTTAGTAGCACCTAACATTTGGCGGCCGGTCTTCACAACATTCAAACCCTCCCACACCATGGGAACCACTGGACCGGAGCTCATGTAGTTGACCAAACCGGGGAAGAAGGGGCGAGATGACAAATCGGCATAGTGTTTTTCCAAAAGATCCTTCGATGCCTGTAAGAAAAAATATAAAATAATGTTAACTAACAGTCAAGCCAAATAAAATCATATGCATATCCATATTTAGTAAATCCGTCCCTAATCACCTTGAAATTAAAAGTTTATGCATGTGGCAAATACCCTGACCAAACCTAACCTCAAAAATATATTCCCTTCGGAACAAATTGCACTGGAAAGTCCGAAATTCCAATCTACCCCCAAATTTTTAAGCACAGTTAATTTGATTACAGACCACCTCCGCCAGGTGCTACACTTACCCACGTGAACTTCAAAGCCACCAATTTGAAGCCCTTCTGTTCGAAGCGCTCGATGATCTTGCCGACGAGTCCACGCTGGACTCCATCGGGTTTCACCATGATGAAAGTGCGCTCCTTGTTTGCTGCCATTGCGTACGAGAACAACGAGAAGAATGCCAAAATCGTACCAATCATGACAGCTTTTTTGCCAAGCAGATTGATTTGCGAACACCACCGGTTGATAGAGCGGGAAGGCAAATTTTCGTGTTGTTGC